TTATGGAAAGGACTAAGATATTACAGAAAGAAAGACTAGGGAATGAACACCCTAGATCAGGGGTGTCAAACTGCCAGCCCACAGGCCGGATGCATCATAGCGAAACCGCGCCTCACCCCATTGCCGGCAATGGCAAAAAAGTCACAATACATCTCGACACGTCACGTGACGTTGCGAGTTTGACACCCCTGCCCTAGATGTAATATCCAAGGTGGTTTTAATGGGGGGGGGGCAGGTGAAAATAAAGAGTTTCTTATATTGAAGAGAGTCCTATTTATGTTGAATTTGTAAAACAGTTGCTATAAAGATTAATGATAATTTATTGCCTCTTGTATCACATTTCTTCCTTTCTCTTTCCAGAGTTCTAGTTTTACCTATGGAGATGGTGCTGATTCCCTGGTTGTGCAAAGCTGCCAACAGGGAAAGGAATTAAAAATTTCAGTGGAAGATGGTGGACCACACACAATTCCTTCCCAGAAAAAAAGCTCTAAGGAAGGCCAGGGGATAGATGGTACTACAATGGCAACGATGGAGGAGGAAGAGGAGGTCGTAAAGGACAGGTCACAGCTCAGCAGATCTCAGACACAGCAGCCAAGCACAGGTCCTGCATCCAGAGCTACTCATGGCAGTAGCACATCAATACCTTTTATTGACTGCAGTGATGTAGATAGCGAGTACGATCTCCTCAGAGGGCAAATGAGTCAGTCACATTCCCAAACAAATGACAATTATGAGGGTGATTTGACCAGTGGAGTTTATGTTGATTGTAGGGGTGAAAATCATAATAAAAATAGATACAATGAATCCTCTGCCTCCCCTATAAAGGCATTCTACAAGGTCATGGAAGACTGCACTGATAACAGCTCTGGTAATATCTCCTTTTCTCCTGGTGAGAATCTCAGATTCCCACAGCATAGTACACTGGTTGAAGAAATGTTTAATGGCCCAGATATCCGTAGTCCACTGGCTACTCCCTTGCATTCGAGCAGCAAAAAATCAAGTCCCCTCATGAATATTGGTAGGCCAGGTACTCAAATCTCTGAAGAATGTAGGGCGAAGAGGAAAAATAATGATGGACATACTTTTAGCTACCATAATTATACCAGGTTTTCCCCAGTTTTGCAAAGACCCCCATTGCAAAGATGTAAGAATGCTTGTAACAAATCTGAAACAGATCCATTTATTTTGAGCCAAGGATCTTCAACTCCAGCTCAAGAATATACAGCAGAGAGGTTTTGTAAAAGGCAAATGGTTAAAATGGTCCCCTTAGAAGGCAAAAGTATGGCAAATGGTATGCCAGCAACTGCACCATCAAAACAAAGTCCCATCATGCAATCCTTGTACGCCAGGGGTATGTCTACTATACAAATGACGGAAGGGTCTACAAGCAGTGGAACAGAGTCTAGTGACTCTGATTCAGAAATGGTTAATCCTTTCACACAGCCTCTTGTATTTAGTAATCCCATAGTGCTGAATTCAACTCTAGGATCTAGAAATAAATATCTCTCTAGCAGTATTCAGTTAAGTGGAGAAGCTGAAGATGACAAAGAGGGTACTCATGTCTTCAGTTGTTGAGATTCTTGGACAGTCTTTCTAAGAAGAGGCTAAGGAATATCCAATCAACTCACTGTTGGAATAGCTTTCCACAGTTTAGCATTTACAGCTTATATTCTGTCTCAATAAGAGACTATATGAACTTTAACTGGGAATTGTCCAAGTTATAAGAGGATACCTGCTGATATTTAATTATCAAGAAAAAAACATTGACCTTTAACATTTAGAATGATATTAATGAGATGATAGATGAAGAATTTGATATGGTAGTTTAAAGGGGTTTACAATAAAATATAATGGTGGCATATTCTTTATTTGTTTTTGAAAGAGAAGCTAATCTTGGCAGTAGATTTTTCATTAAGAAAAAGGACTCTGTTGCTATAAATGTTGCACTTAATGAAGTCTAAGGATAAACAGAAAAAGATGACTTGCAAATCAGTAATGTTGGTTCTTATTTAGAAATAACTTACTACTTTTCTCATTAGGATTTATCCCTGAATAGATGTGTTTAGGGCTGCAGCCATTGCTGTTTTTGAAACAGCATAATATATAAATATATATTTCTCTCGTACTGAGGGGAACTTACTGTTCAGTGCCTCTATTTCAAGTTTTATACTGCAGTCAAAATGAAAGAAATTTGATATTTAAGCAAATACTTTTTACAAAGTTTGATTATGCATCTTTATAAGAACTAATGCAATGTATTACCCATCAACATTATATATCAGACATATTTGAAGTATTACAAATGTCAGGTTTTTATTTTAAACATCTAACATTTCTGTTTGGATATACTGAAGTAACAGAAAAGAGAAAAAACTGGGATTTTAAAAATGAAACCCTGGAGCAATTATTTGAAAAGCCTCATTATGGTTTCTAGAAGAATTTTAGAATTCTAGAATTTTGTTACAAAATTAAACTCGGCACAATTGATTCTGCAAAGTTCTCAGCAATAGTTAAGCCATTCAGATGGAAGTTAAAAACATGAAACTAATTTTCACACATATATTCTCAGCTGAGTGAGGAACAATATGAACCATATGTGTACAGCTTCTGTATACATGCTATATATACATAATCCAACTTTTTCAAGAGAAAAGTAATACAGTCACTATCCTATGTCTAGTCAGCATAATGGTTTGCATGCTTACATATTTGTCAAGGCATAAAATATTATTTCAAATCACATTTAATGATTTAACAAATACAGGAAGACGGAGTATAAACATTGAGGAGTTCATTAAATGAGCAGCATTTTAACTGAATTTTTGTATTTAGAGGAACTTCCTTGATATAAAAATTTATGCCCATGCAAAATGAAATGTTTATTACCTGTCCTTAGCATTGTTATGAAATGTGTTTTTGTGGGTAACACTGAAAGAAAAGCATCAGAAATAAGAAATGGAATTAGCAGGTTTTTGCTGCATGTAGTTGATTCTATATCAGTGATGGCGAACCTTTTAGAGACCGAGTGCCCAAAAAACCGCCCCCCACCCCCCGTCCCTGCTCTGCCCTGCCCACTGGGCCACCCACCACCTCCACGGCCCGCCACAGATCACCCGGGCAGCCCAGCAGCACCATGGTGGCCACGCCCTACGCCCATGCCCCACAGCAGCATCTGCATGCTAGTGGGGCACAAGGGCAGAGTCTTGTCCCCGCTGCCCAGCCACCATGTCCTTGGCTGCACTGCTTTGTGTGGGCTGGGGTGACTCTCCTCCAGGGGGTGACTCTCCTCCAGGGGGGCTGCTGGTAAGGAGGGGGCAGTGGGAGGAGGCGGGGCTGGGGAGACGGTGCGTGTGCCCACAGAGAAGGCTCCAAGAGCCACCTCTAGCACCCGTGCCATAGGTTCACCACCACTGTTCTATATAGTCTCAGAATTGTTTTAAAAGCAGAGCTTTAATGGCTTCCTGGGTTTATAGAACAGCCACAGGAAGTGTTGGTAACTATTTCTGAAGCCTTCAAAAAAGAAATAGTAAATCTGTATAAATATTTGGATTAAACTCCGTATATAGATGCCAAATGTGATAATGATTTAACTCTTCTTACGAGAAGCAACTTTTTGCACTAAATTAGCCTTCTCCAAAATTCACCAATCTCTTTTTGGACTTCGGTTTATATCTGTTTCAGCTAACATAAGAAAAATTGACATCTTGTAAGCAAAATTATCTCTGTAGTTATGCAGGCCGACTGGAAACTGAAATTTTCAGATTTCTGTAAAAAAAATCTCAAAGGATTAGCTTTTAAAAATTTTTTTACCAACTTGCTGTCCAGCTTTGGGAATTTAGGCATATACATAGGGATATTTAATGTGCTCAGACTTAATTATGTTCTCTTTTTCTACCCTAGTAACTGCTTAATATGGGTTACTGCCTTATAGGCATACAGTTCAGATAATTGTTTAGGCAGTAGATAACAAGAAAATAGATAGGCAAATCTACAACTCTGTGGTTAGAAAAAATGAGGTGAAGATTTTATTTCACGTAGTCAAGGGAATCAAATTGGGGCTAAGAATAGTTTGTCAAATTATTGCCTTTAATTTTTGAGTTTGACATCTGTGCTATAGAAGTATAAATCTAATGTTTTGTATGGCAAACATGGGTGGATTAGGGATTCTCATTACCACTAGTTACTTCAATTATTTCTCTAAGCATCTTCAAGTGTATAATTTCCTTTTTAGGAAAAAAAATAATCTCACAGTTTATGTTACTTTAATCAGAATTGGCAAATCAGATCCATGGAATATATCTAATATTAATTTTATATGATTAAGAATGTTGATAAGCAGCAGAAGTTGCATTTACCAAATATTGTAAGAAAGATTAAGAAATACATATGGGATTTTACATGAATTCAGTGTTCAGGCCAATTTGGTCATATAAATGCCAGCCATGCATATTTTTAAGTGATAGACATTTCGTATTCATTGTGCAAAACACAATCTTGTGATGTAACTTAAACAACTCCTTTTCTGTGATTGAAATAAATACGCTTGCTTTGTTATTTTAGATGAATGTGCATAATAATAATAATAATAATAATAATAATAATAATAATAATAGTAATAATGAAGTCCTTGGGAAGAACTCATTAGGTCAGACATGTCAAACACAAGGCCTGGGGGCCGGATGCGGCCTGCAAAGTGGTTTCATGTGGTCTGCGAAGCCATCCTGGAAACAATGAGGGAACGGCCCCCGCTGCCTTGGCCCTGGCCCAGGCTGGCCGGGAGCCAATGTACAATTTTGTGGTGGCCATCTATGCTGAAAAGCATTCAGTCTCCACAAGGCCGTCTAGGAACAGTGAGGAACCAACTCCTGTCGTGTCTGTCCCGCCCCCTGGGTGTATGCTGGGGAGGTGTCACTCTTTGTGAGGAATGAAGAAATGGACCATGCTTTGGTGCTTGCCCCGGTCCCATCCCCTTCTGCCAGAGACCCTCAGATCTGTCCCACTCCTGCCCACGCCCCCACAGGCACCCTTGACGCAAACGATGTAGAGCTGGGTAGGCCACACCCACTCCATCCACACCCACCCAGTAGGCCACACCCACCCTGACCAGACCCACCCGGTCCCCCGAGGGCAACCACAATGCTGATGCGGCATTAGGTGGATAAAAATGCCAAGTCCAGTCTGAAAATCTGGCTAACTGTGCAACAGATCATAATAGTAGTTCACCTATATTCTTTAGTCAGATGTTCTTAATTCCAGCAAATACTGGTTTGGGGTTTGGTGAGTGTGTATTAATACCAATTTATCATTTTTCATCCTCTTTTAAACTTGGGTCTTTGACAAACCAGCTAGTGTCTAGGTAAGCAAGTTAGAAACTAGAAAATCTATGAAAAGAAGCCTGGTGTTTTGTAATGATGCATGCAACACACATGAGTACTTGACTGTAGCAAAGAAACAGTCATCTTCTCAAATTTAAGTTTAAGTTTCTTTAAAATCACATTAAATGTTATTGCTAGCATAAAATTATGAACCATATCAAGAGACACTCTAGATTTCTGATTCAAAAATATAAAAATTAGAATCTCATGGCCATTTCCTTGTCTA